TGACTCGTTTATGCCATGCTTAACTTGATTCTTCCAATAATTTTCTCCACTTGACCTATCATATTTTCTCCATACTCCAACACTCCGAACGCAACGCACTGATATGATTATTGGAAATTGATACCAATTCTCTTCAGTTAGTAAACATGATCTTGGTTCAAAATAGTAAATGAGACACAAAAATATATATATAAATAGGAAAAAGTTTACAGATAAGCTTTCGACTATATGAAAAATTGTATAATTATATAAAATTTTCATTTACTAAATCCCCCGTGAATCGCGTGAAAAATTTATATCATAAGCTTTACGACATCCATCAAGTTTTACTCTTTAAACCAGGGACGGATTCAGGATTGGATCCACGACCGGGCTACAAAATTTCAAACTGGACTACTATGTGGAAAAAAAAAATTTTACACATAAAAAACTGATTTTTTACCAAAAAAAATAAAAAATACCTTTAAAAAAAACTCTTGGACCTGGGGGGGCTATAGCCCAGCCCAGCCCCCCTATATCCGTCTCTGCTTTAAACCACCCAGAAACAGAACAATAAAAATAAAAACACTGTGGAAATCTGTGGCCAAAAATTTGATATGAAGCAATCACTATGGAGGAAGGTCTCTTGTGCGCGGAAGTGTACAGTAAATGAGGGGAACCTGTGATTCAGTTGAAGCATAACCCGCGATTTACCTCCTCCAAGGTTCTAGGGGCATGGATTTTGGAGGTACAGGATTTAATCTGATGTAAGCTGAGATACTTGGATATCAAAAAATAAAATAAAATAAAAATAAAAACACTGTGCTTTCAGTCTTTTCTCTCAAACTCCTCAAGTCACATAACAAAAGTAAAAACAAATACGTCAAGTTATATGAGAGAGAGAGAGAGAGAGAGAGCTTGACTGAATAATTTGACCTAAATAGCACGACAATGCAATTTCCCGTACACAACAATCTTTTTTAAGTTTCTTTGCCATTTCAATAGTAAGCCAATATATGTCAATGAATAATATTATTTATAGTGAAGACTATCGACGTCCTACTTCACATACATATAATAGTTTGTTATTTGATGTGTTAATATAATAGTTTTTTAATGAGTAATGTTATTTAGTCTCATTAAAATTGCAATTCTAATCTAAGTAGCGTTAGATGATAGGCTAAATAATTAAACATATAATTTGGCGCCACCTAAACTCATCACTCTTTTTTATTGCATCGTATATAAAAAAATAAATTGTCACATACGTGTCATGTAGAACTATTACTGATAGTTTTCACTGTAAATAGCATTATGCTATATCAACGTGTCCACTTCAAAAGAAATCCATGCATTTGCATGAAAAATTCTACAAATTAATTTCCTTTCCATTTAAACCAGACAGCAAAAACATTGACACATTTTTAGTAGTGATGATAACAGAGCGAGTCAGGGGCAGCCTTTTCGTTCCTCGCTTCTTCGAGTATTTTTGTCTTTTTGCTCCGTTCTCGTGCCCGATTAAGACGGAACAGGATGAGGCCCTACCCTGTTTACTACCCCTTTTATCAATTTATTTTTTAAAGTCTTTAGTTGGCGAAAATTGTTACTTTTTCTATTGTAGAAAAATATATGTTTTTTTTTTTTCTAGAAATGGTGATTATTATTATTATTATTATTATTATTATTATTATTATTATTATTATTATTATTATTATTATTATTATTATGTGTTTGATAAAAAAAAATTCTTGAATTTTGAAATTAACCTTAAACATGAACGAGTAACGGGGTCCCCCTTCCCCACCCTATGTATCATTGGGAATACCCACACCATTTAGAGTGGAACCCTGGCACCCGCATTATCGGATATGAATATATAATGAATATTTTTACCATCTCTATTTTTTAGGCAATTTTCCCGGCATCTTCACCAAAAGTACAACCCGGCACCCCACCCACAATAATGGTGGTGGTTGTGGACTCAATCGTATAAGCACAACCACTCACCGTCTACACCTTTACCAGGAAAAAAATAAATAGTAATTCCATATGTATTGAGAGATAGCGACTTCAATCTGTATTATAATTATTATGTTAAATTTTACAGTAAAATTTAAATCACAAATAAAACTTAGTCTGCTTAATGATGAATGTTGTGGATGAAGTGACACTAATAGAATAGGGTGACAATAGCGACATACAATATCAGTGGCTAATAACGATGGAATACCAACAGAACAAAGAGATTAATTATGAAGGAAATAATTCTATTGATAAAATTTTGTTACCGTTGATACAAATAATATATTTTTTCCCAATAGATGATAATGTTTGTCAAAAAATGAAAACATAAAAATAAAAATACCAATAGAAACAAGTAAAAAATTTATGCAATCGATATTGTAATAAAAAATGTAACCATAAAATTTCTTTACCATATAAATTTTGGAAGGATGTAGAATTGTTGGATGCGTAAACTTTGCGGTGAACAATGATTCTCTATATTGTAAAAGATAATATAAATTTTGTTTTTATTTTCTACAATCTAAAGAATTGGAAAAAAAAAATGGTTGAGAATTTGTTACATACTATTTTTCTCAATAAACGTTCTTAATTTAATATGTACATTGTAATTATTGCCTATAAAAAAAAGGTTAAACCCTAACCTTAAGGATCCCCCACCATCCCTGTCCTGGAGTATCTTGAGGGAGGTAAATCGCAGGTTATGCCTCCAACGGTACAGAGTGGAAGGCTGCTTGTACACTTGCACTTATCCAAGAGCCAGATCCATATGTCAGGATTCGAACCCTTGACGCAGTACTTATTGCCTATAATAACTGAGTAAAAGTGACAAAATCACCAGTGCTGGCCAAAAAATAAAAAATAAAAAATTTACCAAATGTGAAATTGGGAGGATGAATAAGTCATAGTGATAAAATAAAAGTAGTTTTCAATCTGCCCTTAAGAATAAATTCATATTACTCACAAGGAAATAAATATTCCAGTTATATGTGTGTGTGTGTGTGTGTGTGTGTGTGTGTGTGTGTAAATGTAAGTATTTCTCTAATTTTGTTCCTCTCTCCACTTATAAATTTATTTTATGGTTCCCATCAACTTTTGTATGTATCAAGCGTCTGCGTGTTGTACAATTAACACAATTAACATGCAGAAAAATATGAATTCTGCAAGTACAACATATTAATCGTTCGTGTGTGTGTGTGTGTGTGTGAGAGAGAGAGAGAGAGAGAGAGAGAGAGAGAGATTAAAGACAATGATATTATTGCTAGATAGAGCATTGGCTATTACATATTACATGGAT